ACCTTTATGAGCTCAGAGAAGCTCTAGCATGAGTAAGATAGTTGCCATTGCTATGATGTGCATTAGTGCTCTGTAATAAAAGCGGATATTCTTTCCCCTCATGAAAACAAAGCCAAAGTCATCTAGTGTAATTAATGTAGCCATGTAATGGAAGGCAGAATTTTGTATTGCCTGCTGCATGATCAGCAAGTGATCTGTGGCAATGCTAACTATTCTAACCAAACAGAAAGGGCCCCTTTGTATGCAGCCTAGCTCAAGCGGTGAAATCAATACATACAGAACACAAATCATTATCAGCAATATTTATACAGCAAGGGCAATTCATATTGGACCACATAATTCCAAGTTTGCCACAGTGTTTTCATAAATCTAGCCCCTATGGCAGATGACTACAGAGACTTGACCCTAAATTACCTAATTAAGCAAACTATTCTACTTTTTGACTGACCTTACTGGCAGGGCATACTTTGCTGTCCAGCAGCTGAGCTAAAACATTATGTACATCTGAGATTTTAGATGACATTTATCTCAAGGAAACTTGCCAGACGTATTCACAGATATAAATACTCTAGCCTGTAACTTAGTATTTGAAGGAATATATTTTATTATCCAAATAGACAAACTGGAGGGAATTCAAAGCAGAGGAAGCTTTTTTTTTCCCAAATATTTTCTTTTCATAGATGGCAGGGGAGAGAGAAGCATGCATAGTTTGCCTCAATAAGGTTTGTCCTCTCATCCCTCCTCTGCACCATCTGTGCATCCACAGACTATACACAGGCTGTAAGAATGCAAGAGGATGAGCAGAAAGTCATCTCATAGAGGTCCTGCACTGGGCCACCACAGGGAATCTCCTGGCCTTGACACAATTGCTATGCTGAGGGGCACTTTTACAGCCACTTTAAGCTTGCACTCCTGAACTGAGAGAGTGCCTTGGAAACTGCTGTAATGTAGAAACAACCTCTGGCTGGTTACATTCTGTGGACGCTATTGTTGAGCTCTGTAACAGCCTAGCTTGACACAAAAGAAATGTAAAACCCTTTATCTAAAATCCACTCTCCCACCTTCAATGTGTTGGCTCTACAAGAGGACAAAAGAATAGTTTCCAAATTGATGAAAGAGAGAAAAATTCAAAGCTGAAAAGAATTCTTTAAGAAGGGAACAAGTATTAGAAATTGCAACAGTAGGAGAATATTTTAGAGAGGAATGATTAGGTTAGGTAAAGCTTCCCTGAAGTGAGATACAAAGCAAGTCTGTGGTGAAAGAACTTCATCTTGTGAAGTTAAAGTCAAACCAGTGAAAGTCTTCAACAGAGCAGCTCCTCAGACAGCTGGGATACTCCCTAATGCCCCTGGCAGAGGGAGGTAAAATCTTTACTTTATCTCATATTCTTTAATCTGGGAGTTACTTCTTTTAGCAAAGGAGTCCATTCCTCCCCTTCACTACTTCAGGTACTGTTCATTAATTTCTTCAACAGAGGTTGTTTCTACATTACACCAGTTTCCAAGGCACTGTCTCAGTTTGGTAGAGCAAGCTTCAAGTTGCTGAAATATTGACCCTCTCCTGTTTCTTGGCTGGGCAAACTGGCTACTGGGAAATGCAGCTTTTCGGTGCCTTTCCTCAGAAATATGGACACTAATTCTGAAATCTTTAACATTTCTCAGACATGGAGGGGGTCAACACCAGGGGCCAACAGCTACAAACATGGATACAATGCTATGGCTTTGTGGTTAGAAGCTGGACTCTTTTGCCCCAGAGCTCTCACTGACCTGTAACTGCTTGAGCTAGAATGCCAAGCTGCTAGCAGGAGCAGGGAGAAGGGCTTTTATCTTCTGTGGAGGTGGAGGGGTTCTTCCATTGTCTGAACAGCACTGTTAAACACCCTGTAAGAATTCCTGTATGAAGGGTGGAGAATAATATAACAGGTTATGACTATCGTATATGACTAGATCTAAGAAGGAAAACAATTTTTCTGTGTGTATGGGATTGTATATGAATGTTTTTATCTAAATCAGTTTTATTTTTCTAACACAGGCTGTTGGTGAGTCATACACTATTTTCCAGGGCCTAGAAAAGATGACTGGGAAAGGCATAGCTACTGGGAATAAACTTATATTTGCTGCACTGTGGTATGGCTCTCCATTAGAAAACTTTCTGAGTGTCCGTTCTGCAAAAAAACTGAAAGCACCTAACCTACTTAGTAAATGGGCTCTGTTTAAGAAGAATAAGATGGAAAAAGTAATAGCTGAATAGAAAAAACCAGTGACCTAGAACCCAGCATGCCTCTGAAGGGAGAAGATAATATCTTAGCTGGTTCCACCTCCATCAAAATGATAGAGATTTTTTGCCAGATCTGGGAACTAACACATCACAGGATGTAAAGAGTTAAAAGTGACCTGCTCTTTGGAGCAGAAGGGATGAAGGAGGGGGGGGAAAGCTTTAAATAAGATTTGAAGAATTCTCCCCTTTGAGGTACTAGAAGAGAAATATTTTGTGAGTTAGGGGCCAGGATTAGCTGGTCAAACCCTAAAGCAAGACTACTCAAGCAATGACTCCAGCACAGCTGCAAGGCAAATTTTGATTTACCTTTGCTAAAGTGCCAGGCAAGAACAAATAAAAAAGGCTGGCTAGCTGCAAGGAGGAACTGGGAGTGGGATCTCTCTCTTCATGCCCACACACACGTCCAAGGTGGGAGACAATCTCATCAGTAATTGTGTAAGTCTGCCCATATGTTTCAAGGCAGACACTGTAGGGAATCTGGTCCCAAGATGTTCTGTTCTACTTTGCAGTTTTAAGGCTGTTCTGAGGCTTCAGGAAAATTGGCACTGCCATTGCTGCCAGCAGAAGCAGAGCTGCCTTGTCAAGGCTGGCCTGCTGAGGTATTCAGTTTGCAGGAGGGGAAACAGGGCCCTGTGGCAGAGTAGAGGTGCATGATTCAGTACTGGTTTATGGGCATGGTTAAAGGACTTGATAACAAGACTCAGAGGGTGCTCAGTGAGGCCACAAGAGGTCAAAAGTGTGTGTAAATCGGGAATCATGATAACTTAGAGGCAAGAAAATGAGACCATGGGAACACAGCTTCCCTGGGAATATCCATTATTTAAACTCTTCTTAATTCAGCTTGCAGAGAGACAAAGACGGCTGAAAACAGCTCTGCTGAGCTCTTGATGGGATTCTGCCTGCATTATGATATTGGAGTTTGTTCTAGTGTAAAGCAGTTAGTAAAGTAAGTTAGTTTAGTTAGAATATATTTCTGCTTTCATTCCTGCCAAATCTGGTTCTGCAAGTTGGTGCTGTGGGAAACATGATGCCTTGTGTAAAGCAGTTATCATACTGGGAACAAAAGGTTAACCTCTTCAAATTTTAGAATGACTCTAAAAATGACCAGCCTTCCTTCTAACACGTAAGGACCAAATTTCGTAAGAGAAATGCTATCACTGCGATGATTAGCAGGGAGTAAAAGGTAAACAACATGGTTTACTTTGCACTGAGGCCAACTTTTTTGTACTTTCTACAATGACACTGAGGTCTTACAGTGGCTGACTGGACTCATCGTTGTACACAGACCATTGGATTTACTTCCTAACACTGCAAACTCAGTGTTATACTTTTATATACAATGTAGAACATCATAGAAATAATTGTTATCAGTCATGTTGGAATGTTACATACTCCTAAGCTGGAAAAAAATAAAAAAGGAGTAATGGAAAGCATACTTTTGCTGTAGCTTTCATAGTCTGTTGCTGCTATTCCTTCTGTGTTGTACATGAAAGCTGTTTCACCCCCTGCTGACATTCATGGAAAGGTAATGCTGTCCTCAGCTTCATAGCTGGGTAAAATTCAGTTTCCTCCTCTGTACATGACATCAGAACTGGTGCTTACTGAGGCAGTGCATTCACCAGTGAAAAGGGATCAAAATAAAGCAGCTTCAGTTCAAGTTGAAACTTACAGTTTCAAGCAGGACAATGTGGAGGCAGAAAGCTGAAAAAGTGAGCTCTGCCATGTCCTCTGTCCCCTGAGAGGAGGGATGTCTGCCCTGGTCCAGACATCCCACTCTGCAGCAATGTCAGCATGCTCTTAGCATAAACAGGGAGACAAGTCCACTGGTATCAATAAGCCAGTGATTTTAGGCTTCTACAACTTTGGCTCTAGATGGAGAGGGGTGAAAATGAGGGCGGAGTCAGGCCCAATACATTTTCCCTGGCCCGAAGCAGAAACCAGGCCTTCAGCATTTCATTCAATCTACACAGTAAAATCCTTCAGCACAGCCTATTCCAAATGCGTGACAGTCTCTGCAGAAATGAAACTGGGCATGTCTGCCAGGAGCCTTGAGGCAGATGCTCTCTCCCATTTACCAAGGCACTGCATCATCTCCTAGACTGAACCATGTTGTTGCCAGTATTTACAGATTCACTGAAATGCATTAAAGTCCCCCCAGCAGAGACAAAGAACTGCACAGCTTGCCACCGAGAGATTTACTGTCTCTTCAGCGTATCGGGGGGAACAGGCAGTGTACACACACACTCACACACACGTGCGCGTGCGCATGCACAGCCCAAGGGAGGTAAGTCCAGCCCCCAACAGTGGGGCCATCCTGCTGCTGCTGGATTTTTCCAGCCGGAGCATCTTTCCGGGTCTGCTGTAATTTATGGAAATTGGTTTCTGACGTGGGGCTTTTTCTGTTACGACAGGGACCCACCGACTGGAGGAGGCAGAGCTGCAGTCAGGGCAGGAGAAGAGAGGGAGAGGAAGAGGTGGAGAGCAGAGGGACACCGCGAGAGTGGAGAGGACAGAGGGAGAAAAAGGCACAGAGACACTTCAGAGATGGGTGAGTTATAACTAAGAGAGCAGGAAGAAAGGCAGAGAAAGGGAGAGAAAGAGAGCTGTGGGGAAGGGAAAGGAGCTCAGAGACTGAGTCAGCCTCAGGAGGGCAAACACCAGGAGACAAGTGCAGGGAACACCCCAGCACACCAAGAAGGACCTGTTCTATCTGAATCTTCACCATGAGCACAAGGAACAGCTGCACCCTGCCACTGGGGCAAGGAGACCGGGAGGAAAAGCAGAGTGAGGGTACTCCTGACCTGGAGCGACAGGAGTGTGAGGTGGAGCTGAGGAATAAAGCTATTCTGCAACAGAAGAGGCGCCTTAAACAGGCCACCCAGTTTGTGCACAAGGACTCTGCTGACCTGCTGCCCCTGGACGGCTTGACAAGGCTTGGCACCTCCAAGGATCTGGTGAGTCCAGTGGGACCCCATTTGGGAGGGAGTCCTCTGAATAGCCTTCATCCCAGTGGGAACTGCTGCCAGGCTTTGTGAAAGGGTCATGGGTTCAGCAAAGATGAAACTTCCCTTCAGCATCATCTAGAAGCAGGTCAGGGTGAGGGGAAAGAATGAATTGCCCATTTTTTGCATCCATCTTCCCATGCATCCCCATAGGAACCAAACTCCTTGCAGAGGAAGGCAGACATGGACTGGAAGGAGTCCTCAGGATCCAACTTTCCACTCACGTAGTACATAAATATATTCATCTGACATGTATGTTTCCATGTGGGACGCCTCTGAAAGCCCCCATATATTCCTGCATGCTCCAGCTCAAAAGCAGACTCCTTCCTGGACTCAGCAGGGAGGGAAGCACAGCTCTTGAAACTCCAAGAGGCTTATGTTTGACCTTGTCACCTTTTTGCATTATTCTCTTTCCCCCCAGTCTTTGGACTTCTGGAAGGGCAAGCACAGGGCATGACCACTAGCCAGGCGTGCAGGCAGCTGCAGTGGCCAGCACCCATGGATATTGCCTCTAGGGAGGAGGACAGGAGTGGGGCCTGTGGGCATCTCCTTGCGGAGACGTGGAGCAGGAGGCATCAAGGAGGATCTGATCCAGGAGCCTGGGCAGTCTGTGGTCTGGAGCAACTTCCTCAAGGCAGGGAGCAGTTTCCCACAGGATCTCTTGCTGGCTTAACTGCACACATCTCCCCCTTGCGCTGGCAGTTTTGCTGTCTAACTCTTTCTCTCTGCTGTGGAGTTTAACTGCTCAGGGATGCAGAGGTCTAAACCATTTTCCCAAAAGAGGGCCTGGGTCTGGCCAGTGATGGGGGCACAACGACTTATTCCAGCTGTGCCAGTTGGTGTCATAAAAGATCTTGCCCCTCCCTGCAGCCTATGCTTCTCTCTGTATCCTCAGACCATTGCAGCAACACCACAGATGCTCATGCATGTATATCTCCTCTGATCATTTCCCAGCTCCTGTGGCAGGTCTCACGGCTACCAGCAGCAAGGCAATGCTGCGCACACAGGGCACACATGTGTGGGACAGGCAGAGTCCCTGGCACTGGCCCAGAATGGAAGCTATTCTCCTTGCTGAAACCTTTGGGTGCAGCAGCTCTGCCGTGCACAGACGAGGGGTCAGTGCCATGTTCCCGTGCCAGCACATCCTTCTGTTTCCGCCACCCTCCCCAGAAGCCACCTCGGCTGCTGCTGAGAGTCCCTGGCTCGGCAGGGTCAAGGGTGGCTCCTCAAAGTCACCCTGAGCCATCACCTCGTGCTCTGCCAGCAGAGCCACACACGTGGCCTTAAGCAGGGACTCGTCGTGAGCATTCCTCTGGCCCTGAACACAGTCACTGTCTGAAGTCACGTAAGTGTTTTGTTAGCGAGGAACAGGGCCTCTCCTCCCCGCGGGGAAGGAGGTCTGGCCACACCGAAGCTGGGAAGGCCCCATTCAGGCTGGCAGCATGGGCAGGCTAGCACTGGCCCTTCACGCCCTGCAGCATTGCAGCTGAAACATATCCTCAGCAGGGGATAGCCAGACATACCCCATGGCTCTTCCTTGTACAGCTTTTGGCAGAGAATGGGGAGGAGCCACTTTTGAGTCTTTTAGTGCATGCTTGCTGAACCTAGCTACAAAGACAGAGAGAAACATGCCTGTCTGCTTTGCTTTGGAATTGACTCCTGACACATCGTGCCCCAAAATGACAACTGCGGTGCCAGCCAGAGGCCTGTGTGAGAGTCCTGCACAGTACGGGCGGCAGTCTTGGCCCCCAGAGGCTGACACTCTGAAGCCCCAAATGCGTGCTCTAGCGAGACAGGCGTCCGAATTGTTTGCCGCGAACACATCGCCTGGTCAAATTAACCATTCTAGGCAGGAGACTTCCTTGCATGCAGGTGGCATTTGGTCACTCAAAACCGCTGCATAGTTCATGTTTGGTCCATAACAGAATGGCTGAAACATTTTTACCATGGAGCTAGGGAGCAGTGAATAAAGCATAACATCTTTTCTGCCATGGAAATTTTGCACTGGTGTTACAAGGCACAAAATAAAGTGTGGCACCTGTACAAAGTTCACACACACAATGCCATACCTGGGGTCAATGCGGTAGCTGCAGTACCTCCATTGCTGGTTTACCCTGGAGCAAGAGAAGCACTAGGCCTTAGAATTCCAAGAGCAATTCATCAGTCGGTGCAACTTGGTGGGCTGCTGTGATATCACTGTGATGTTCCGGGGGCTTCAAATTGGAGTCCAAAATATGCTTTTAGGCACTTATCCAGCCTCATGCAAAACTCCTTCTGTTTCCTAAATTGATCTGGCTCCCTCCTGGAGGACAGGAATGCAGGGCTGAAAACAAAGCAGCAGCAGGAAGTGCTGGAGCAGTTGGCATTGGAGAGAGTGCAAAACACCCCAGAGTCCTATAGCACTTACACTGGGAGGAGAGTTTAATTAAGTCCCCAAAATATGTCTCCATTGACAGTGCCAGAGACTCCAGCTGTGGCAGCCCCGCATGTCCTAAAATTAGAGCAAGACCCCATGTAATTTAAAAAATGACACGTTTTCTTATACAGGCAAAGTCAAGTTCTTACTTTTTGCCACTCTGTGTATTCTGGGTGTGCATTCAGCTTATGCAATGCATCCAGCAGTGTCTGCGACTTGATGGGCCCATCATATCTCCAGCAACGAGATTATACATTTCAGTAGAGACCTCACATTTTCAGCTTTTTAACAGCTACAAGCATGACATGTGGTTGGTTTTTTTTTAAATGGGGAAAAAAAAAAAAGAAGTAGTTGCATGAGCTAAAATACTCTGAAAGTACCAAGACGTTCTGAAGATCTGGCTTCTCTCCTCCCTAAAATCAAGATTCCCAGCCCATACCATACCACTTCACTAATCATAGCAGGGCCTTGAGATTTCACATTGGAGAGCCTGAACATGAGTTGAACTGGGAACCTGCACTGACCCTTCTAAGAGTCCTGAGAGGGCCTTCCTTCCAGCTGCTGGCCACAACTCCCTTCAGGTCCTCCCTCACCATCCTCTTCATCTCATTATTTCTTACCAGCCCAAGAGAGACAACAATATCCACTTCCCCGTCTCACTGGTGAGACAGAAGGCAGGGGGGCCCAGGAGTCTTCTCTTGAATCAGATGCCTCCACAGTCCCAAAGCTCAGCTACTCCACATCAGTGCTTGGCCTCTTCCCAGCCTGAGTGACAAGAAGGGGACAGGGGTGACAGCTGCAAAGGGCCAGCTCTTGATGTGGGAAAGGCTGCAGGGAGAGGGAAAGGTCCTTTGCATGCCAGATTGCGAGAGGAGACAAGAGGGAGGATGGGAATTTGGAGACCTGCTGTCAGTTCCCTGCCCTTTTCCCATGGCCCAGATGTTAGCTGGCAGCCAAACTGGCACTGTGCTCAGAGTATTTAGGGAGTGAAGCACAACAGCCAGCTGTGCTGTGGGTCTGCACAGCAGGCTGGGAAAACACCAGGAACAGAGGGATATTTTAACCACACTTTTTCAAGCGTCTCTCATGCAGCATGTGAATGATCTGTTTCTCGCTCCATGAGTGAGAGGGAAACAGAGGCGTGAGGGACTTAGCAGCTTGCAAAGAGCAATGCTGAGTGCAACCAAAGAGCCAGTAACAGCTCTCCTGTTCCAACCATTGGGCAAAACTGACAAGTCAGTGTGCTTTAAGTTGCAGTTTACACACTTCCCTGGCCTCAGCCCTCCGACCAAGCATAAAGCTAATCTAAAGCACACGCACCCTGTAGGATTAATACAGCCCAGTTCATTGGAAGGTCTGGTCTAATTCAGATGTTTGGCCTGCACATTGATAAGATCCTACATCAAACTGCAGCACCATCTGGAAGTTGATTTTAAAATTTTTTTTTGAGAAAGATAAAAGCAACTGTTTATGCTGTAGCACTTTAGCCCCTTCAGATTAATTGCCTTTCTTCACATACGCAGTTGTTACTGCAAACACTATTGTTAACTCTGAGCAGCTGCTGTCCTGGAGAAGGGCCACAGGGCTGAGTACATGGAAAAATGACAAAGGTACCTCCAACAGGCCTACTTCATTGATGCTGCCCATTGTTGATTCAGCAGCTGTGCAGGGACTGGAGGCACTGGATCACCATTGGGCAAAAAATAGAGCATCAAGCTGATGACAAAGGGAGCTTTCTTTCCAAAGCAACACTTTCCTGTATGTGTATGCAATGTCAGGACAAGAAGTTTTTCACAATTTTTCTTCCCTCTTGGTGCATCTCCTTTTCTTCTGTCCAGGAGAAAGGAGATAGGAGTGAGATAGGAATATGAGATACATGAGATATGAATGAGATACGTGAGATAGGAATGAAGTTCCTTCAACCTGTGATCTGACTTGACAGTGCTCCCTTCTAGCTGTGAACAACACAGGGCTTCATAGATGCTCCCCCAACTAGGAAGGGAGTCAAAATAGTATCACTTCTGATGGAGGGGAGCAGAGACAGACTCCAGAGAATATTAGAAGCTAGTTTTAGTTTCCTATGCAGGGGAAGCTTCCTGCTTCACTACAAATAACTGGTTGTACACCTAAAATTTCCGGAGTCTTGCCTTCTTACCCCATATGTACATCACACACATGCTGCGTCCCCCATCCCCTCCCACATTAGAAGGTGTGAGTGTACCTGGTTGGATGTCAGCACACACCCACCAAGTAGCGTATCACAGTACCTGAACAGGTATGAGACTGACAAATGCATGTTTACCTGAAAGAACAGATATGTGTAGGGAGAGCATTCATCAGATATGTTCTTTTCCTCCCAGAGACCTGCTTGTCACAGACGTCCCAACACTTTAACATCACCGTAGTGGCTACAGACAAAATCTTGAAATTTAAAAAAAGGTTTTTTGGGATAAGCTTGTCTTTCATCAGGATGATCACGTGGGTTAAGCATTTGCAATCTGCTTTCCTGGGCTAGCAAATGTCCTTGTCCTTAGCTCCATACTTAGCTGGGATTTCTCTTTCTTTGTGATGGAGACAGCAGCCACATAGTGTGGTCCAGCGGCGCCTCTTGGAAGGCAATCTGAACAAACTGCGGGGCGAGACCAGGGTTCAGTCTGCACGGGTACAATCTCCGCTGGCAAAAGACCAGGATGAAAAGATGGAAAAGGGAGAGGACAGGAGAAAAGAGACTTCATCCCTGCTAATACAGTGCCAGGTAAGGCAACAACATGGTGCTGCTGATTTCACAGTGACGGTAATTGCTCAATAAGTTCCAGCTGCCCCACTCCCAAGGGCCATGCGAAGTTATTCATTGCAAAGTCAGCCACAGCCAGAGAGAGTAGATTTCCCACATGGCCTCTCCTAGAGTTTGGATTCAGTTCTTCCAACAGACAGAGGAAAGCCTTTCTGCCACATGCATTCTAGTTGTCCATATTTTAAGATAAATTACCTTAATCACATATCCTTCCTTTGGAGGCCAGCTTTCCTGTGATATGAGGCATTTCATAACTGCATACAGAAGCAAGGAATGTCTCCTTATGACTTTAAGGCAGGTGCCCCTAGTTGATTTACACTTACTGGATCCAGTCTGGTCTGATTCTCTCAGGTGTCAAAGGACCTCCTAAGAAAATGGCTAACTGTGCTCTAAATTAGAGCTGTTGCATTTCTTCATGGAAGCAGTATTTTTAGCTCCCTTTTCTTCATATATCCTCCTATAGAGCAGAACACACTCTTCTCTGGACCCATATAAGAAAGTAAGAAAGCACATCCAAAGCTGTGCCCCATGAAAGAGGGCTGCATGGTTAGAGCTGTTCAGTAATATACAGATATGAGACTCATCAAGATACAGACCTGGTACACAAAATACATTTTAAAGCTGTGTTTATTTCAGTTACCTGTCCTAAAGAACATTTCACATGTTAGAGTGTACAGTCTACGCTTCCAGGAAAAACACATAGACCTTTGAAAATTCACTTGGCACAATTAAGTATCATAAGAACCCAGCCTGGTAGCAAGTTTCTGAAATGTTCAGATCAAGTGTTTCAGTACCATGCAAAACCACTGTCTGGTTTGTTTTCCAGCCTTTACAGTTGTAGTTAGGCATTGCTTACCCTGGGTTTTAGACTCTGATGTAGCTAGGTTAACATAACAGAAAAAAAACCAAACTAGTAGGATGAATGGCTTTCAGTGTAATTTCTCCAAATAGCTGGAGTCTTTTTTTTGAGCAAATCAAGGTGTTTCTTTTTCTTTAATCACCACTCTGTATTGTAAGGGGAAAGTCAGTGATAAAGGGTGGGGGTTTTTTGCCAGGCGCATACGTTGAACAAGGACAGGGATGTGTGGGCATCATATCACAGGGGCAGTAGCTAACTCAGCATCAGAGTCCACTACTTGTTCCCCTTCAGTGTTTCTAATGTACCCCCATCACACATTGTATTCTCCTTCACAGAGGAAGGTTAATTAACATCACAGTCAAGAAAATAGGCCTATTTTCCTATGCTGCACTTAACTTTCCCTGAACTCAATACCTTCTGCACAGGCATTTATCTCTTTTTCTGCCCTTCTAAAGATCCAGTCGCTGTTTGCCAAACTTAATCTTCTTACGTTGAAGGAAGGGAAGTTCTCCTCCCCTTCTTTTTAGTCTTGCTGCTTTTCATGTTCACATTTGTGAACATTAAAAAGCCTCACCTGTAAGTAACAGATCTATGGCAGGAAATAACACTGAGGCTGCCAGTTCATTTTAACCAGAGAGGTGAGCTGGTACCTTTTGGAGAACTGCTTGACTATGGTGCAGTTTTTATTAGAAATGGAATATGACCCCAGTGAAGTCTCTTCTCTCTGACAGCAGCTCCTGAGAAAAGATCAACTACCAGTGTAAAGCTTCCATTTATACTCAGGCAAGTATGCTGAAAATTCCAAAATGGTAACAAAAGCATCACCTGACTACTGAAGTTACTACTTCAAGTTACTGTCAAGTTACTACTAAACTAGACTAGGAAATAAAGCTGAATAAATGTAGACTTCAATGATACAGGGAGATTCAGGCAATAAGTGTTTTCATTCTAACAGGTTATAGTTGCCCTGTGCCTAAGTTTCAGAGATCACGGACAGACCCAGTCTATAATAATTTTACCGTGGAGTCACTCACTCTCCTATTTACTTAGGTGAGTTGCTCATATGGTACTTTATCAGAATTTCCCCTTTTTGTGGTAGTTTTTAAAAAGCACTTTGGAGAGTTTGTCATGACTGGCTTCTGCATCGTAAATCAAGCTGTTATTTTTTGTGGTAGGGCTTGTCTCTAGCTGACTTGGAAAGAGATGCTGAACGATTCCACTGCTGTCCAAGGCTGCTTTTCTTCTGTGCCAAAGCAACCTGGGATTAATCAACCTTGGTTGGTTAAAGCAGCTTCTTGACTTTGGAACTGACATTATTTCAGAAAACAAAGTTCTTTATAAATGGTGATCCTTACTGATTCCCCTCCTCTCTTTCTCTTTCTTGGAAATCTCCATAACTGACCTTTAGATAAAGATTAATGGTGATAAAGATTAATGGTGACTGCTAGTAACAGAATGAAAATTTTGGAGCAGAGGTGAGAGTGGGTAATGTAATAAAAGTCCTCGTAGTCCAAGAAGGATGGCAGTGCTCATCAGCTGCTTGTGTACTCCTTACCTAATCTGCATTGTATTCCTTGTCTAATCTGCATTGTCTGTGTGGTATGCTGGATCAAGAACTCTCCTCAGGCTCCTGGTGATTTCTCTGGGCAAATGGTAGTGGTATAATTGGTAGGTGGATAGCTTTTCTGAGGCTGCTGGACCTGATAACTGTGCAGGGCTGTTTATCACTGAATGAGATTAAATGTTGGTTTTCTACAGAATAATCACTGTCCTGTTATATCCTAGCAGGTTTCTAACTTGCAACTTTCCCAGCCTGCTCTGAAACAAAATTCAGGAATCTGCCTAGTGATGCAGTTTAGGTTTATTATCACAGCAATGCTAATAGTGCATGCATCTCAGGTCTGCCTGCTCCCAGTGATTCCTTAGCATTTGCTATCCATGCTCCAGGTCTTCTGTTTCTGAAGTGCCAAAACAACACCTTTTCTGTAGCTGGGCAATGAACAGTTGGCTTCTGTGAGCCACAGGGATGGTTAACTCTTTCCCAGTAGAATCCATATCTGTTAATAAGGAAGAGCTGATTCAGCTGGACACTGTTGGCAGGTTGCAGTCTGGGCAGATGTGGTAGCATACCTGACCTGACACTCATGGCTTATATACCTGCTTAGGTAGTGAGGAGGCACAAGGAAACCTCTTCTATGAAGCACAGTACAGAGGATGAGGAGACAGATGCTTAGCATGTATCTGCACTTTGTGCTTTATCTTGCCTGTCTCGGGCCACAGTCCTTCCAGGCAGGGCTGATGTGTCAGTGAGGACCAGACAGCACAGACGTTACAGAGCTCTAAAAGCAGAAGGGCAGACATTTTGTCACAGAATCATAGGATGGTTTGGGTTGGAAAGGACCTTAAAGATCATCTAGTTCCAACCCCACTGCCATGGGCAGGGATAAGGGATTGTCCTCTGACTCCAGTCAATTTCCAGGCTGTTTTCTCTCTAGAAGTCTGGACTTTGTAATACCACAAACAACTGTTGCCATAAGGTAAGGCAGGGTCTCTCTAGTTGGCCTTGGGGACCTCTATAGGCAGGCACTACTCCTAGTCCTGAATGTTTAAAAAACTTGACATTCCAGGCAGCCTGCAACCATGGTGGCAATGGTTTTTCTTGAACAAGCAGAAGTATTGCCAAAGTCAGTGGCTTCCAAATAGAGTGTTTTGCAGCTCTTCCCCTTCTGTGAGGCTCTAGCATGCTCCCCCACTTGCTTAAAGCAGAGTTGTGCCAAGAGGCAGAGGGCATGAACGAAAGGCAAGAGAATGGGCATGCATTCTGGGAACAGACAGCAGCTCAGCTGGGTCTCCTACCAGCTCTGTCATGTGTGATCTGATTTACCACGGGCTGGCAGTTAAAGATGCTCCACAGTGAAATGGGACTGCTCATTTGTAAAGGAGCTGGGGGAATATTCATGTGTGAATGTGCAAAGAACTGCAGAGACAGCTGCTGGGGGATGGTTTCTCTGTGGTCTGAGTCTGTTTCATGAATCTTCCAGCTGGTATCAGGTCAGTTAGTTAAGTTTTGTGTTCTCTCAACCTGTGACTTTGTAGTTCTGTGGCAATTTCCATACCATGTGCCAAAGAGCAGCCTTGGATTGAATATAGATGCCAGTGTGGCTGAGACTGTGAGAAGCACGTGATATAATTGAGAAGACACAGTGCTGGCAGCCAGAAATTTGTAAGATCTGTCTTGGCTTTGGCTGTCCTAAAGTATTCAGCATTATATGCCTCACTTGGGTGTTGTAAGTCACAAGTGTTTGCAGTCACGCGGGACTGTTTGTTAATTATGAATAAGACATGCTTTTTTATATTAAAGAAGAAAAAGTATAATAACCAAATCAGGTGGTGTTGAAAATATGCATCTGTGCATATTTTCTGTGTAGACACTAGTTGAGCACTGCTTTCCTTGTTCCTGGATGGTGAATGCTCATTCTTCTAAAACCACTGATGTTATTTAAATATATATCATATATACATATATGAGTCTTACATGAGTCTTGGTGAACTATGTAAAACAATATAGGTTGAGATCTCTGGCTCCAGTGGTCTTGCAGTTCTTGAGAATTTCTCCACTAAGTGGCCATTCTAGGAACATGGTCTATCTAACTGTTCAGAATGATGAAATTCTCTACACTGAGGTACTGCAGATGGAGTTTGGACCAGAAGATGACCTCCAAACAAAACAGCCTGCATGCACTCTCTGAGGTTGCCTTGAGACAACTCAGTGTTGTGTCTGCAGCATTCTGGTATTTCTCACAGGAGGTATTTTCTCCTTTCTCTTTATACTAACTCACAAATAGCACATTTTTGAAAATGAAATCTTAGAAATACAGGATGTAGCTCTGTGATGATTAACCCATGTAATAATCATAAATAGATTTAGTTAAGAAATCAGGAAATTGAGACATTTTCCTTGACCCTACTGGTGCTGCACTGAGTCTCTGATGGTCAGGATGATCTGCTTAAGGTGTTCAAAGCATTTAAACTCGTCAGGAATGAATATAAGGGTACAGGAGCTGTGGAAGGTCTGTTGCTGCTTCTGAGTGGCTCAGTGGCACTGAGTGCTGTAGTGGATGGAAGAGAAGGAATCACAGGAAAAATACAAACGATAGCAGGGTGGAAATGAGCCTCCCAAGAGGGAAACTTTGTGGTTGTTCTTTTTTTGGGTGTTGGTGCAAGACAGAGCCTTAAAGAACTAGGCTGTCAAGAGTGGATATGGTTAGGCACCATAGGTAGGTGCAAGCCATATTCTGTAGATGGCAGTAACTCCATCTTTTCCAGTTCCTTTACTAAGTCCTACTCCTCTTTTTTTTTTTTTTTTCTGAACATAATTCTTATTGATGTCCTTGACGACCCTATTTTTTCAGACCTCTACCATATATGAGACCTGCTGTTACTTCAGCACCTCTGGCCTGCCATTAAGGACCTCTGTGCAGAGGGGACAGAAAACAGATGGCAACCACATCTCCTGTTCCCTTTCAAGTGCAAAGGGGTGAAGAAATGAAGTGGTCAAGGCACTGGGGATTATTCCAGTAAGATCATGCAGAGGTGTCTTGGGTGCAGGGCATCCAGTCTCTCCCTTTGCTAGATGACACCAGCTGTAAATATTGTAGTTGTAGTGCTCATGTCATTTTTTCTTAAAGAACTATCTAGGAACTTAATCTAAGCCCCACACAAAATAGACACCTCTTTATTAGGTTGTTTCTTGGATTCAGGAGTCACTTGGATGTGTCAGTTATCTTGGGAACTGCCTTAAATTCAAGCTCTTCTCAGGGATGCTTGTCCTGGGTGGTCCTGCTTCTCCCACAGACTTCTCCCTCTGGAAGCTGTTCAACTGAGAACAGACATCTAGCCCTGGAACATTGATCCCTGTGACACCAGAAGAAATGGAGAGAGCATACCTACAAAGGCCATAGCAGATGCTTATATTCCTTTAGAAGCTTTTGTCATATCAATTATTGCTCTGCTAATAAATCCATGTGGGTTTTCTGAACAAATTCACTAGTCATGCATCTCTAAGTTAACTCTGCTAAGTTAAAGTCACTAATAACAGATAAGTGTCTGAGCAATCAAACACAAATTAAAGACAACAAATTCAAGAAGAAGCCTTTGGCAGAGGTTTGCAGAGAACTGGGGTGACCACCATTGTCTTGGTTGAGTCTCCTGTCTTCTGATTACTGCCTAAAACACCACATCTTTGGCTGTGTGCTAAGGAAGGTCTAAGGGATTGTCACACTCTTGGAGGAGTGGGTATGCCAATTCTGAGCCCACAGTAATTATCTGTTGTTGTTTTTTCTAGTGCCAAGGTCAGGTATTGAAAGCGACTGTTAACACTGGGTGTCTACCAAATCTCATCTCCAAGAGCTGTTTAAACCAGTTGGGGTAAGTCTTTGCACAGCAGAAAAGGAGGGGTGGCTAAAAGAAAACCTATGGCGAGAACCTAGGTACTCTTGATTCCCAACCCCAATGATAATTACTAGCAGCTTTGCATGTGCACATAGCTGTTTAGGAGAAGATGTGGAGGGTGGGCTACAGGGCAAGGCATCAAGAGTACTGGAAAAGTTGTCTGCAGACCCCAGACTAGGAGGCAGAGATGTGTCATTCTGTCTGTGTGTACTGCAGGGCAAAGCTGCCCAGCTGATGGTTAGCCTCAGCTGTGAGGAACCCAAATGGACAGTGCCTTATGGTTTTGCTTGTGGAATTTGCCTCCAGACATGCTGTATGAAAGAGATTCCTTCTCTTGTGGGCTTGTTCCCAATGAGACCAAGAACTGTCTCAGTGTTCTGAGAAGTACTACCATCAGTGAGAAGTCCTGTTTTTCCTCCTCTTCCTCCACTCGAGGCAATAACACCTCTTGTGTCCCACAGGCTGGAAGAAGTGTCTGACATGGACTGTGGAGACCCCTCTCTTCCCATCCCCAGTGTTGCTGGCCGAGTAGAACATATGGAGGTGCAATTTGGCCAGAAGACAGTGCTGTGTTCAGCACTGGTTGTAGGTGAGAGTGCCAACCCCTCCTCCCCCCCAGTTTTCCTGTGTCCCTCTTGCCTTACAAATGGCATTTAAAAGGATCTCTGGGAAAAAACATAATGCAGTGGGAGGTTGGTGATACGGTCACCTCCACTGCTGGCCAATATCATTATGCACTGTGAATACCCTCAATGGAAAGGACATAGGAAGAGTACAGAGAAGACAGAAGACATTGAAAGTGGGGAGAAATTAGGGGCTTTTTGGTCTTAACACAGGATGTAGAAAATTTTCATTTCCTTCTAAAATGGACCTTTCTTAAAAGTATTCAGACTGCTTGGTTAGTCCTAGTCCTCTGGTGCCCTGTGCTCTCCTATTGAATGGGTACTTGCGTCTTTGGCTGGATGGAAGTCATCAGGGAAGCTGATGGAGCGTACAGCTTATTACCCAGAGTGTTTGTCTGTGTGCTCAACTGCCTCTGCTGCAGGGAGCACCCTGGAAGAACATGGTAACCCCAAAGTGCTGAGTCTCTCTCAGTGTCCTGAGGCAGGACCCTTTGAAGGAAGGAGCCATAGGAGACAAGGTCAAGTCCACAGGCACTGGAGCACACCCAGAAAACGGCAGAAAGGCTGCATGTTCTGCATTTACATCAAGCTGTGCATATGCTAAAAACAACTTAGTCATCTTTTTTTCCCCCTTGTTCTTTCTCCCTATTAGTCTTCCAGCTTTACCCTCTTGCCTTTATCTGTCTCCTCATCTTTGATGAGTACTATTCATCTTCCAAGGCCTCCCTTGCTCCCTCTTTTCATGTCCATTCTTCCCACTTTCCTAGTCATTTAGAAAGAGCTTCCTGAGCTTCCTCCTCTTCCACACTCCAGCTCACTCTTCTTCCCTCGTTTCCCCTCCACTTGTTCTTGCCCTTCATGGGGAGTCTGTATTAGTACCAGCACAGGTGAATTTAGCCCAGTAGCACCTATCCATTTTGCTGGGATGTGGAAATGGCTGCCTGGAAGGATCAGAATTGCTACATTTGTGCCTTACATCTCTCTGTGCACACAGTGCTCTTGGTGATGTGGTTATAAATAAATTATAAAATACAGCCACTGGTTACAGGGCAAGCAGGCATCCAGGAGACATGGGAAGTGTTGATGATGTTATTGGTGGCTGCTGAATCCTGCAGACTCCAGGACCTGGGCATTCCTCCTACCCTGCCACTGAAGTCCAGATGGATGACTCTGAGACCCAGGAGGTCACTTTTGCCCAGTCCAGTGCATGTTCTTAGTGGCAAGTTCGAAGAGCAGCAAGGCTGAACGTATATTCCAGAGAGGCACATACAAAGAGGACACAGACAAGGCCAGCCACACAGATTACCACTCGTAGACCAGTGCCTTTACCAGCACTCACATAAACAACGAGCACAGATAGCCCAGTCCTGCTCCTCCTCTCTGGCTGACCAGGATTCAAGTTCACTAGCAGAACCTCATACATCCTCAGTCTCTAGATTCACAAGCACACTCATATTCACAGAATCGTCAAGTAACAGCCCAGCTTCTAGGTCTGTCTTATATGCATGTCTGGACCCTGGGCCCTTTACCTAGCCACTGTCCCAGGCCTTGAGTCTTTCCAGATGCAGGTTGCCTCCTACTCACTGGCTAGACCAGACCGAAGTTTGCTAGCTAATTATGTATACAAAGCCACAAACATGTATGATTAAATTCACTGGAGAAATATAAACATACCCAAGTCTTTCTAGTTAGTGGCATCCTACAAGATCTGTGACCCACAGTCCTTCTCCAGTTATTGGAACTTATTACTTTGAAGCACACTGCAATCCCTTATATGCTTGCACCCAGACATATAAGACTTATGGCCTGTGCTCCCTCCCCCAGTTACTGGCACCCAGACTTGTACACTGGTCTCTCTAGCTGCTGGTATCTGTGAGCTACGTCCCCTTCTCCAGTTGCTGACACAGACTGATGAGCCCTATGGTCCCTTCAGTTACTGGCATCTCTCTTGCATGCCAGTCCCTCCAGTTACTGACATCTAGAGCTATTTGCCCTTTAACTCATGGCATCTTCTACACTTGCTAACACTTAAGACTTGCAGCAGTCATGTAGGAAAGAAAGGTTACACAGAAAAAAAACCTACTTAATAAAATTATTTAATAAGAAGATTGCAGCCATCAGGCACAGGGTTCAGTCAGACAAGTGAACTGACCAACAGCCTGCTTGCATGTGACTAGCTCCCTTACCCACTCTCCTCTCCATTTTTCCATGTTTGTTCTTCCCTGATCCACCCTGCTGCTTGTCTTGCCCTGCCTTTGGCCCTTCCTCTACACAGCCCATAGTAAGTTTTACATGACCCCAGAAGCCCCTTCTGCTATCTCATAGTAAGTTTCAAACAATCCCACAAACTCCCTCAAATATCTCATAATACTCATGATAATCATGGTTCCCTCCTCTTACCAGATACAAAGTTCATTTTAACCCTCTTCAGGGCTATGCCTAAGTAGCTTCTTTAATTGCTCATCAGTCAGTGGCAGAAGAGTGCTGGTCTTTGTTATTGTTACCACCTGCTTGTTAATGTTTGTGTGTTTAATTCATCACTTTCCTTGCTATTTGTTATTTACTTTATACTGAATAGACCATAACTATATAACTTTATGAACCAGATGTTCTCAAATTCCACATCCCCTTACAGGAGAGACACACTTCTTTAGAGGGGCAGTGTATATAGTCCTGAGCCTGATCAGTGTCTTCTCTCTTCTCAGATGATGAAATGATGGAGTTTTGCATTGGTCTCCAGACTCTGTTGTCTCTCAAGGTAAGGAACAGCTTCTTGCTTATTGCAGGGCTTCTCTCAACAAGTTTTGCAAGATTTGGTTGCTATAAGCATCAGAAATACTCACATCCAGGTCTTCCAGGGTGCCACTTGCAATGCTTGTTGCACAGCTGCCTGGCTGGCTGTATTGTGCTTTGAGTCACTGATTCCTTTCCAGTCTTTCTTAAATGTTTTAAGAAAGGAATCACCCAATAGGATACTATCATATCTCCCATTCTTTGTATTCCTGACCATACAAGTTGCAAACGGGAAGAGGAAACTGAAGAGGAAACAAGAAACAAACTGTGTCATGACTTATATCTGTGTTGCCTTTTGAAAGCAGATGTGAACAAGCTCTGCCCTTGCTTTGAGCCAAATGAAGCTTTATGATCACAGTGTCCAACCCTAGCTGGACACAGGTGGAAAAAGTCCTCTCCTTTTGTCAACTCAGTCAGGATTAGTGTTCTGCTAGGCCTGGCTCCTGGGTGGCTCAGAATATGGCTGCAGCAAGCTTGCTCCTGCCTGTCAAATACTTGTAGCCACATGTCAGACTCATAAAGCTGGAAAAGCATTGGGCTGAATGTCTGAGTGATGTGAGGACATCACCTCAGAGAGTGTCATAGGAAGAAGGCAGTGGAATGGCCCTGTGAAGGGTTTTGGAGAAGAAACCACTGAAGAAAATAGGAGCAAGGAGGCAGCATGGGGGACAGAGCGGGGAACTGTAAGTCTCTACAAACCCAAAGTGGGGTTGTTTGATGGTTATACAGGTTTTCCCCAGTCACAGACATTATGAGATTTGCTGTCTGAAATGTCCAGCAAGTAACTGGCTCTCCCCTTCTTTAGTGTTGCATCGACTTGGAGGAAGGAGTCCTGAGATTTAAAGCACTGAGTCAAGAGCTGCCTTTTCTACACGCCTCTGAAGAGCCTGGTCAGTGACTGGCTGCATTCCCCATGTTGGGGGCTGAGTAGACTTGCTGCTATGAGAGAGAGATGAGGGTGAGGCTCACATGCCCCTAACCTTGCTGAGTTCTAGGCTGAGGCATTCACTGGGGAGTGAGAACAAGGCAAATGGGTGTGGGAAACTGCTGTTGCTGGGAGTGCCTCATCTTGAGAGATATCTCGCCTTCCAGTGGGCCCTCTTGCTTGTCCCCATGTGCTCATTGGGCATTTTGTTGTTTTTCTATCCGTCCCTAGTCATTCCAATTTCTGCTTCTCTACTAAATTCACTCTACCCTTTTAATGACTTATTTTTACAATACCCTCTGTTCATGAGACAAGAGAGTCTCTGTGAACAATCTCCAGTTGTTCTGTGGACAGGAGGACAGCACTTTCTCCAAAAGCCTCCGAAGATTGCCATGAATGTTTTCCTTCTCTTTGCCTCAATGTGAGCAGACTCCACTCCCCTTTCTTTGTGGGAAGGGATCTGTGGCCAGTACCCGCACCTGTACTCTGGGAAACTGGATTTTGTTACTTTTTTCCTGTCTCAGAGCTGAAGAGAAGTACTTTACTGGAAAAACCTCGCAGCAAGAACACTTTTAGAGTTCTTAATTCTAAGAAACCTTTGCAGAAATGCTGAGCGTAGATGCCTAGAGTATGGTGGACACTCACAGGGGTTTGGGCTTTGCCACTGCATCCTTGGCCACTAAGCTATATTATATGAATGGCAATGCTTATCATCTCTTGGTGTTATACATAGTAACCAGACTTGCACACCCTGTTCTTCTGAGCAGGCCTCTCCTCTCTGTACTGCAGCTGCTAGAGCTACATTCCTATCACCTCTGCTGCATCATCAGAGATCTTGCCACTCAGTTTAAATGCTGTGATGAATTACCGCACCCAGAGTCTTCTGCTCTGTCAGCTCCTTTCTTTCAACTTGAGATCTAGTGATTGGACACAAATACATCATCAGCCTCAAGTACCAGCATCTCACAGCCCATCAACTTTGCTAGTCCTGCATGAAACAAGAACTAGATTTCCTTGCAGTATCAGCTCAGATCAGAGAACTGTGAACTCATCTGGGATGACCAGGGTGATTATTAAATCACTGAATTGTTGTGGTTTTTTAAAGTTTGGTGGGTTTTGGTTTTTTGGCTTTTTGTTTTTTGGTTTTTTTTTTTTTTTTTAATTTGCGTCCTAGAGCACAGTTGTATGATAAATACATAGTCTATTCTTTACTAGCTCTAGGAAGGATGCACCAGATCAGGGCTTGTTCCATGCCTCATGACTACTGATTCACTATCCAAACTCTGCACAATGTCCTTTTGTCCACCCTTAGAATCTCATGACATCCCTATTTTGCCTGTCTTCCTGGATTAAACACTGCTGGCTCTCTTCCTTTTTTATCAAACTACTCATTGTTTCTGTTGTGCTTCTCATACAACTTGTGTATCTATTTTTGCTTTTACCTGTTAGTTCTTTCCTAAATCAGAGGGTGTATGCTGTAATTTAACACATGCTAAGGACAGCAGAGTACAGCCTGGCTGGTATAATTTGTGATGCACTTACCAATGATGTCAGTTGGTGTGACAGGCATCTGCTTGTTCTGTAAGGAGCATCAGTCTAGTGACTTTTATTGTTAGTCATCATATCTTGAAGCCTCTGATCTGTTCCTTGGCTTCTTTGCCATTTTTCTACTGTGCATCTGATTATTTCTGGCTGCATGAACTGCCTTCCATGAATCTCCTGAATGACACCAACAGTTTTCTCATTTATGTCAGGACCCATGTCTACTCGATGAGCCTGTCTTGCAAAGTACTAGTAATTCCTCCTGGATTTGTATCACTTGCATGTCTGACTGGCTTCTCAAACCCAAGGGTCTTTAATGACAGTTCAGATTTGTATGAAACCATCCTGTGTGTCAGCTGTAATCTACATGGTACCTGGGTCGACTCTGCTGAAAAAATCTTGTGACAGATGAAACATCCGTTCCTATGTGCAGCAATTCACCTAACTTCCAACTCTCATTGCCCTCTAAAAACAGCATGTGGAATGACGGCAAATAATGTGCTAAATCTGATAAATACCATTTCAATTACATCCCGTATTATTCATTAACTTTTATGATCTATTTAAAAGAACCCAACAAACCTTAAACCCAAACTCTAAATATTAAAGCTAACTATAGCCCTAACCCAAACCCTAAACCCTAACCCAAATCTAATCCTTAAACCTAACCCTGACCTAAAATTTAACCCCTAAACCTAAACCTAACCCCTAAACCTAATCCTAAACTTAACCCCTAACCCTAAAACACTAGCCACCCATCATAAATCCTAACCCTAAACATAGCACCCAAAGTCTAAACTGCTCTCACTCCCTAAATCTAACCACCAAATCCTAACCCCAAAACTTAAAACTAATCCTAAACATGGTAAAAATAAAACACAACCCCAAAATCTGACCCTAATACCCAATCCTAACCCTAAACTCTAACAACTAACCTTAAATCTATCCCTAAACCTAACCCTAACCACTAAAGCTGACCCTAAACATGAAACCTTAATATGAACCCTAACCCATAATCCTGACCCTAACCACTACTCCTAATCCCTACACCAAACCCTGAATGTTAACAATAAACTTAAGTAAACCCTCTAACCACCAAACTCTCACCTTGTAAACGTAACCCTAATCCCAAACCCTAAACCTAACCTAAACTGACCTAAACTAACCTAACTGACCTAACCTAAACTAACTCCTGACCCTAAAACCTAAACCCAACTGTAATGCTAACCCAAACTCTGGCCCTATCCCTAACCCTAAATCATAATCCTAACTCCATAATTCTAATGCTAACTGTATAACTAACCTTAACACTAAAATAAAATCCATAACCCCACTATAAGCCTAACCTCTAACCCCTAACCCTAAACCCTAATGCTGACACTAACTCTAACCCTAAATCTATCGCTAACCATAACCCTAACCCAAACTGTTACACTAATCATAAACCCTAACCCTAAACCCTAACGCAGACCTAAACCCTAACCCTATCAATAACCCAATATTCCTAACCCTAACTCTAACCCTAACACTGCCACTAATGCCCAAACCCTAACAATAAACCTATCCCTAACCTTATCCCATACTCTAACCATAACTCTAACAATATCTCTAACACTAACCCCAAAACTGAACCATAATGCTGATCCTAACCCTAACCTGTACTCTAACCGTAACCCTAACCCTATCTCTAACTCTACATCTAACCCTAAACATAACCTGAATACTAACCATGACTCTAAAGAAAAACTCTAACCCTAAACTCCACCCCAACCTTAAACCAAATCCCACTAATCCTAACCATAACACTAAACCTATCACTAAACTTAGACCTAACCCTAACCCCGAAACCCAAATGCTAGCCCTATGCCATCCCTAATCTTAACCCTAACTCCAATCCTAACATTAACCCTAATGCTGACCCTAACCCCAAAACTCTCCCTATGCCTAATGCTAACCTAACGCTGGCACTAAAACTAACCCTAACACTAATGCTAACACTAAAACTAACCCCAAACCCTAACTCTAACCCTATCCCTAAAAAAACCCTAAACCTAATCTTATGCCAAACCCTAATCCTAACCCTAAACCAATCACTACCCCTAACCCTAACACCATAATACCCCTAAGTTTAAACCTATCCCAAACCCTAACCTTAACCCAAAACCTGAAGGCTGTGTGGGGCTTAGCTGCCAGCTGGGGTTAAACCATGACATGGAGTGAAGTTTGGTTTCCCTGTATTCTGAGCACTTTCCACTTAGCCCTGTTGCTACCTCATTTTAATCTTGCACCGTATCCCTGACCCTAACCCTATCCCTAACCAAAATCCTAACCCTATCCCTGACCCTAACCCTATCCCTAACCCTATCTCTAACCCTAATGCTAACTGTAACCCAACCACCTAACCCTATCTCTAACCCAAACCCTAACCCTATCTGAAAGCCTTTGCCAGTGCCCACAAGAGGCCCTGCTTCCTTCCAGAGTGCCCTACGGGTTTTGCTGTGTTTTGCTTTGGCCTGCAAGGGGACCTGCTTCTCTCCAGAGTGCCCCAAAGCTTTAGCCAGGCTTTGTGGAAGCCCAAAAGGGGCTCTGCTGCCTTCCAGAGTTCCCCAGGGCTTTTGCGAGGTTTTGTGAGGCCCATAAAGGGCTCTACTTCCCTCCAGAGCACCCCAGGGCTTTTGCTGGGCTTTGCTGATGCCCAGGTACTTCTCTGCTGCCTTCCAGAGCACCTGACAGCTTTTGTGGGGCTTTGCTGGTGCCCACAAGTGGCTACCAAGGAAAGCAAGGGCCACTAACAGGTGTCAGTCCTGGCCATTTGTGTGTGGGAACCCTAGGTGGTAGGTATGCACTTTGGAGCTGGTGAGGGGGTAGGTGAGGGTTAGGTGGTAGAGCAAGTGCAGAGTCCCAGTGTTGGTGGGACTGTGAAGGGGCTGCCAAGGGAAGGGGAGGGCCACCAGCAGCTTTCAGTCTTGGCCACTTCTATGTGAGAGCCATGTCTGGTGGGTGTCTGTTTTGGAGCTGGGCTTTGGCTAGGGTGAGGGTGTAGGTGAGTAGGAGTCTTCCCGAACTCAGAATGAAGCCAACAGGAATCTTTCCAATGATTTAAAGGGTGCTGGATGGGATCCTACAGAAAATTGGCATGACTTTGAGTTGACAATTCTATTTTGATAAGTACCTGTCACTTAGAACGCTGCAGATAGATACTTGCACACTAGCTGCTGTTGGAATTCAGTAGGTGCTGTTCCTGCATGTCAGTCTTGGGATAACTCTGGTTTTGCTTCACCTTCAGAACATGCTCCAGTCCTTCTGAAGCCTTTCTGTGATTCACATGCCTCATCTCTCAAATCACCAATAATTCAGATTCCTCTGTGAATTAATGTGCTACAGTAGGTGAAAATCACCAGCCCTATCTGTCCCTCTTCTCTGCATAATGA